TTAACCTGTGCTGTGACGATCCGAAATCGACTTTAGTCGGAACTGGTGTTGACCTGAACCTGAGTTGGTCCTGGAAATTGTGGATCTGAACCGACCTGAGAACGACCTGAACCCGAATTGAACCGAAAATATGATACCCGAACCCAAACTGCATCCGACTGATATGAACTCGAACCCGAGATTGACCTGGTAAATATCTGGTATTACCCGACCCGTTTTCAACCTAACCTGTTTTTAAACTGACATGTTTTTAACCTGACCTGTAAATGACCCGACTTGTTAATAACCTGATCTGATATTTACCTGACTTATATATTACCATGGACGAAATTATAAGATTTTAATAAAATTATGAGTTTTTTAGTTTATGATGTAATTTAAAAATTAATATGATTACTTTTTAAATGTTATAATAAAATATTTATTATGATAATTAAATTAATAAATAGTCCTATTATATAAAATTATTTAATAAAATAATAAAATTATTTAAATGTAAATTAGATAAAACATGATTAATAATGAAAAGGAAAATTAATATAGTTTAATTTATATAAAGAAAAAATAATATTAATAATGAAAGTATTTATTATGTAATATATATTAACGTTTTACATTATTAATATAAATAATTTTGGCAATACATTAGTTTACATAGGCCCAATACATAAGTCAACTGTTTTATTACAAATATATATGCATTAGTGCTAGTCCATTTATATTAGGGTTTATGGTTTAAAGTTTAGGGTTTAAGGTTTCTATAAACTATACAGTCTATAAATAAACAAAGCACATTAGATTCGAATAATAAAAAATGTGATCAGAACAACAAAACAAAGATGAAGAATTGCAAAATAGGTATAATAGGTTCGAACATCATAGAAAGCAGCAAAGGAATGGTGAACTAAGTGTGAAAACAAGCTGAAATAAAAGGGACTAAAGGGTGATTTCTTCTTTTTTAACCCAAGTATTTGAAGAACACAAAAATAGAAATGGCCTAAATTAGGATTTTAAATTTCTAAAAGAATAAAGCAAAAACAAAGCATGTGACTAAACTCCAATTCACGTTGGATGAGCAGCAGCATGCGCAGGAGGGAATCGGATGGGTGGGGATCACATGGCGACCTTATAGGTCGCCTGGCATACTTGGCGACCTCCAACGCTCGATGCTTCCTATATCAAATACCATATCTCAGCAATTAATTGTTGGAACAAATTATCTCGTGAGATAATGGTGTGGGAAAAAAAATTCGTGAGATAACGTATGTCGCCAGGCGCTCCTGGTGACCAAGAAGGTCGCCCATCCCTGCGAGCTGTGGTGAGCTGCTGCACTTTGCATGCTTGAAGCCTAATTACCGATATAGGTAATCATTGTTACTTAAGGAAATTTAGATAATCTCATGTAGGTCGCCATGTATGCCGGGCGACCTTATAGGTCGCCATGTGATCCCGGCGACCTTATAGGAGCTGCACTTTGCATGCTTGAAGGCTAATTACCGATATAGGAAATAATTGTTACTTAGAGAAATTTAGGTAATCGCCATGCGTGAAGGTTGCCCTGAAATAGAAGTCGCCATGTATGCCGGGCGACCTTATAGGTCGCCATGTGATCCCGGCGACCTTATAAGTGTAGATTTCACCCTATATGATGAATTAATTGTTGTAACACATTATCTCGTGAATTGTTTTTCCAACAACATTATCTCGTTGATTTTGCCGTAATTAATATGTTAAATATCGAAAGCCAACTTGCTCTTTATCATAGACCACGTCCTTTGAGTCATTCCATTCGGGTAGGAAATTTATTGCAAAATCAACAATGGTTGTGCAGCATCTCTATTTGAAGAAAGTTACTAAAAGAAATTGCAATATTTTCATGAAGAGAAAAGGAAAGGAACGTGAAGGATGACGTATGAGATTATGCCAACACCACAAAACACTTACCTCCATCTCATGTTAGATCAAACGGTTAACTATCACATTGATTACTTATCTAATTATATTTTGGTCACTTATATTATCGATTATTACATTTTGACCATTGAGCAATTAACTCCTTTGAATTTGATGGTGTGGTACGTTAGTCAAAAGAAGTTAATTTTTAATTTGTTCCTTAAACTTTAGATGAAGTATCATTTTAATCTTAAACTTTAGATAAAAAATCAAGTTGAACAATCAAATTAAGAATTAGCCCCTTTTGACTAACATATACATCATCAAACTAACAATATAATAAGTGACTAAAATATAATAATAAATAATGTAAGTGACAACAATGTAATTTTGTTACATTTAATGAGAAAAAATATATAAATATGAAAGGAAAATTACAATTAGTTTACCCTAAATCAGATTATCTCATCTACTCTTTTATCAAGCATTTATTTTTCCACATTAATGAGTAGATGACGAATGCGAGGATGTACTTGTTCCTTTCTCGACCCTATACAAGAAGCAGGTCTCGCTTCACTGTCAGCAGATTCATCGCGAATTTTCGATCACTTACTGAAAATTTCACTTCCAAGTCTAAAGAAATTAAAATATTTTTTTCTCCCTGGGAAAATGAGAAGAGAAATTCATATGTTCTTCCTTGCATACTTGGCTCTCGGTCACGTTATTCCAACAGTGGATATGGCCAAGCTGTTTTCAAGTCAAGGAGTAAAGACAACAGTAGTCACCACTCCCGTCAATGCTTCTTTATTCTCCCGCACAATTGAGAGAAGCAAGGAATACGGTATCCGTATCGGCGTCTCCACTTTCCGGTAGCTGAAGTTGGGTTGCCTGAAGGTTGTGAAAGTGCAGATTCCCTCCCCACTTCCACAGACGGAAACCGGGAAATGTCGGTGAAGTTCTTCCAGGCCGTACGGTTGCTTCAAGAACCATTCGAAAAGCTGTTACAAGAATTCAAACCGGATTGTTTGGTTGCTGATTTGTTCTTCTCTTGGGCCACCGATGCCGCTAATAAGTTCGGGATCCCCAGGTTAGTGTTTCATGGAACTGGCTACTTTTCATTGTGTGCATCGGAGTGCATTCGGCTATACCAGCCACACAAGAAGGTTCAGTCAGATGCCGAACCTTTTGTGGTGCCTAACCTTCCCGGCAACATCGAGTTAACAAAAAACCGACTACCGGGTTACATTAGACAAGATGTTGAAACTGATTTTACCAAGAGAATGGAAGCAGCCACGGAAGCTGAGTTAAAAAGCTACGGCGTAGTAGTCAACAGTTTTACGAGCTCGAGGCAACGTATGCTGATTTCTACAAGAATGTATTGGGGAAAAAGGCCTGGCATATCGGCCCTCTTTCGCTCTGCATTAGGGAAGACATAGATAAAGCTGAGAGGGGAAAGAAATCAGCCATTGATGAACACGAGTGTTTGAAGTGGCTTGACTCGAAAGAACCCAACTCAGTTCTTTACATATGTTTTGGGAGTATGAGCTGCTTCACCTCTGCCCAATTAAAGGAGATCGTCATGGCCCTTGAGGCATTAGACTTGCAATTCATTTGGGTTGTGAGTAAACAAAAGAAAGATGAGGAAGACAATGAGTGGTTGCCGGAAGGATTTGAGAAGAGAAGGGAAGGCAAAGGACTTATAATAAGAGGATGGGCACCCCAAGTGTTGATTCTTGATCATGAAGCAGTGGGGGGATTCGTGACTCATTGTGGATGGAGTTCGACCTGGCCAACATTTGCAGAGCAGTTTTTCAATGAAAAGTTGGTGACTCAAGTCTTGAAGATTGGAGTTGATGTTGGTGCTCAGAAATGGGCGAGACTAGTGGAAGATTTTGTGAAAATGGAAGCCATTGAAAAGGCAGTGAAGGAGTTGATGAAGGGTGATAAAGCAGATGAAATGAGAAACAGAGCCAAAGCACTTGCTGAAGCAGCAAAAAAAGCTAATAAAAAAGGAGGGTCTTCTCACTCTGATTTGAATGCCCTAATTGAAGAACTCAGCTCGCGTTCTCAATAAATCCATCAAACCTTCATATTTTTTTTTTGGTTTTTTATAAAATGAATGTTGTTTGTTTAAATTTACATATGCATACTTTTGTTCATGTGCGTTTGGTTCACGTAATGTAAGATTACCAGTGGGAATAAAAGATTACCAGGGAATATGATTACTGGGAATGTTACATTACTGTGTTTGGTTGGTTTGGCAGGAATGTAAGATTACAGTGTTTGGTTGAAGGAATAAAATATTACTGGAATGTATATTTTACCAAATTGTCCTTGTTCTATATTTTTTAACAAGTTAAATTCTAAATGTTTAAATAAAAATTATTTATATAAAAATTCTATTTGTTGATAATATATTATTTGAGTATTTAAATATATCATGTATTATTTTAATTTTAATTAATATTAAATTTTACATAATTTATGTAAAAATATATTAAAATTTTACATCATGTAACTAAATGTTTACATTGTGAAAATTCTTCATAGATATTCATAATAATAAAAAGATGTAAATTATTTTTGTTATCTAAGATATAATATTTATTATATCTTCTATATACAATAATTTATTTATTTATCTTTTATATTTATACTTAATTCTGCATACTTTATCATTATTACTTATCTCATGAATTTATATTACAAAAACATAGTTCAAATAAGTAAGAAAATATAACACTAAAAATCATATTGTCTATAATTTTATATTTCACCGTCATTCATCATTATCTTTGTTAATATTTTATCAAAGGAATGATAAAACCAATGGACTTAAAAAATGCAACCAATACTTAATCTCCTTGTAGGCTGTGTTAGGTTTTAGCTTTAGCAGCCCGTGTGAAAGTTAATCTCCTTGTAGCAAGTTTTGCAAAACCATGCTTGTTCCAGCTTAGTTAAGCCTTTTAACTTCAAATTTACTTTGCATTTACATCGTAAAAAGGCAATTGGCTTAGTATATTTGCAATTCAAGACAGCTAACAAGTTTTTCCATTACTAGATAGATCAATAACTTATCATTTTATTGCATTGTACATTAATAGAAACTAAATAGGTACTTCAATAATTTCATTTGCTCTGATGGTCATGTGCCTTCTGCAGATCCATGCAATATGCCCGTCATCCCTGTATCTGACTCCCCATAACCCGAATTTATATGTGATGTCCCCAGTCTTGTTTCGGTTACAGTTTACTTGTCCCATTGCTGCAGTTCCAGCGGCTCCAGCAGCGACTGCTCCTGCTGCTCCATACATGAGTGAAGAGTCGGCGAGATGGGCAACTTCCCTACTCAAATCCGGTATAAGGTTTCCCATACCGGCTACTAAATTCGCTCCGATTTTGAGAGCAAATGTTACCAGTTTCATGAACTTGGTCATGTATGGAGCTAAGCATTTCACTGCAGTGTTATCGACATGCATTACTTCACAACCAATATGATCTTCAACAATATATTAATAATGCTTACACTGAAATACCCATTTTAGCTAATCTGTCTATGCATCACTGCCATCAGCCAGTGTTCAGAAGCATAAAAATATATATAACAATGGGGAAATTTTAGCACTGTATATATTAACGAATATACAACAAAACATTACTGGAATTTTTAGCAATAAAAGATAAATAAAGTCGCACATTGTAACATAAAACAAAATGATACTTGCAGATAATTAGCTTCTCAACCAGCCACAAACCTGAAACATCAAAAGTACCACCTCCAAGATCAAACACGAGGATGGTTTCATTGTTCTTCTTCTCAAACCCATATGCCAGAGAGGCAGCAGTAGGCTCGTTGATAATCCTGAGAACTTCTAACCCAGCAATTCGACCAGCATCCTTTGTTGTTGTCCTCTGGGAATCGTTGAAATAAGCAGGGACAGTAACAACCGCTTTTGCCACTTTCTCATTCAAAAACTTTGAGGCATCATCAACCAGCTTCCTCAAAACCTATATCCAAAAGTAGAAATAAGCCATAGAAAGACTGAAAAAACTGCTATAAACTAGACTTTGCTTTGATGCCACTGTTAAGCTCTGTCCTGAGTCCATTACGCAATTAATCGATATTGAAAACTATGGATTTTTATCTAGAACTTAAAGACTTCATTAGCACTGCATTCATAGCTAATAAAATGAAATAACTTCACATAAAAAGGACCACCTAAGTCACTACTACACATAAACACTATGGAATTTTATTCAAAACTTAAAAAGAACTTCAGCAACAATGAATTTATAGCAAATAATTGAAAGCTCCATAATTTTTGGTTTCAGAAACGCATAACAAAGAAAAAAGCCGATAAATATTATATACCTGAGCTGAAATTTCCTCGGCGGCGAATCGTTTACCAACGGCCGGACAATCGAGCTTAACATTCCCATTCTCATCTCGACTAACCTTGTAAGAAATCTGCTTGGATTCCTCATCCACTTCCGACATTTTCCTTCCTATAAATCTCTTAACAGAGAAAAATGTGTTCTTAGGGTTCACCCGAACCGCTTACGGTTGTTGGTATTAGTACGCCGCCGTAAGAAGGCAACGTTCAAAGGTGAGGGTTTTCCCAGTCTGTGACCGAAGAAAACCGTTTTGGGTGATTGTTGGTTGGGTTTTCTCGATGAAGGGAAGCCAATAGTGCCAAGGGCGTTGATTTGAGTAGTGGAGGAAGCCATTTTTTATGTATATGAAATGAAAACACCAACAGAAATAAATGGCAGAGCATTAAACAACAGTGTAGTTCAAAATCGACATAAAAATCAAAAGAAAAAAATATGAACCAGAAAAACTAAAAAAACACAGAAAACAAAGATCAAATATTCAACAAAGGACCAGAAACCATACCCTAGGTGTAACACCCTCAACCCGTATCTGACCCGGATACAAGTCTGAGGTGTCACATTGACTTTTTAAACTTTAATCTTTTAACGAAAACCAATGAAATTTAAAACTTTTATTAAAATAACATTGTCACTGCACACGAGTTAACCAAAACAAGACAAAACTAATCAGAGCATTTGAACTAACACTGTTCTTACATGCCAACACACTACATACAACAAAATACCTACTGTGACTTTACTTCTGATCTGATCGCTGAGTAGAGATAGGTTGATCTGCAAATTCCTATTCTTGATTCTCCTGCTCTTCGAAACATACGTGTAAAAAAACACTTACACGCTAAGTCATAGACTTAGTGAGGCATAATTACATAATAAAGAATTATTAAAATATAAACATGTCGTCTACTATCCAAACACAATTATACTATCATACCATTATTTATTATACCACATATGAGCCAATATAAATCGTAATAATACCATATTAAGATACAACTATATACATCCTCGTTATGTCTTATTTAAGCCCATATACACTATTGAGAACCCAAGGTATACGAGTATTATGAGATTGTGCACACGTATGCTATCCCCACAGCTCCATGAATTTTCCGAAGGACCTATCCAGAGGTCATAAAGATCCTCGGTAACTGTCCAGAGGTCATAAAGATCCTCGGTAACTGTCCAGAGGTCATAAAGATCCTCGGTAACTATCCAGAGGTCATAAAGATCCTCGGTAACTATCCAGAGGTCATAAAGATCCACGGTAACTGTCCAGAGGTCATAAAGATCCTCAGTAACTATCCAGAGGTCATAAAGATCCTCGGTAACTGTCCAGAGGTCATAAAGATCCTCGGTAACTGTCCAGAGGTCATAAAGATCCTCGGTAACTATCCATAGGTCATAAAGATCCTCGGTAACTGTCCAGAGGTCATAAAGATCCTCGGTAACTATCCAGAGGTCATAAAGATCCTCGGTAACTGTCCATAGGTCCCGAAGAACCTAGGTAAACTATCCATATGTTCCTTAGAACATAGGTATACTGTCCATATGTCTCGAAAGACATAGGTAGTTCTTTGACTCTTGGCATACCAACTATACTTACAGTTCTCATAACTCATATCATGGCATTGTCTTTTACCTTATTACATATTCATACATCATATCACATTTTTCTTTTTCTATAGCTCTTTATCACATGTTCATATGATCATCTTATTACCTATACCTTTTCATATAACCATTACATACATACATACATACATGTCATCCCTCATATGATTTCATATTCATATTCTGTATATTTCATATTCTTTCTTATGTCCTTTTCATACTTCTTATTTCATATTCTTATGAAATCATATTGATCATTTTAACTATTTCACATATTTAACACATTTATCTACATATTTACACAACTCATATATATATATATATATATATATTGTAACATGTCAATACATATGCTCATTCATACATATAAACCATAACAAACACATCACACACACTTCATATACCTAATATAGATATCTCGTAACTCATTCATATATAAGCTCTAATCTGGAACATAGACTTACCACAATCTGCATAGTATATCCCATAATGAAAAAAAAAGTGTTGAGTTAATCGAATGACGAAATTGGCCAAGAGGGGGGGTGAATTGGCAATAAAAAATTTTGTGGAAGCTTTTGCAGAAAATTGAAAGTAATTGCACAGCGATTTACAGTGGTTCGACTTTCTCAAACAAAGTCTACGTCCACTACCTTAGCTATCCACACTAAGGATTTTCCAACAAATTCACTAATTTGTTCTTTCTTTTGAGGCCAAAGAGATAACCTTACAATTCCCTCAAGAGTATACCCCAACTCTTGAGAACACTCTTTTCTCAAAGAGAAGATTACAAATTTGCAAACTTACAAGAAAACCTCACAAGGTAAGATGTTTGCACAATTCTAGAACAAAGAAAAGAACACTCAAAGATGAATACAACTGAGCACAAAAAGTGTTCTTGAAAGCAAAATGAATATTGAATGAAAATGGGCTTGAAATGCTCAAACTTGAGGTTTGATGCTTTCTCTTTGATTCTCTCTTGATTCTAGTTGCTTGATGTTTCTTGTTTTTGATCAATGGCCTCTAAGCTTGCTTAAATACACCTTGGATCACTTCTGAACGTTGGGGATAATTAGAGAAGATATTATAGCCGTTTTAGTGTGAAAACATTTAATAAAACAGCTTGGAGCGTGGGGGGAATCGGTTCCCTCTCATAGGGAATCGGTTCCCTAAGTGTAAAATTCAAATATTTCGACCGTTGAACAGGGGGGAATCGGTACCCCCTTGGGGGGAATCGGTTCCCTCCGAGCATTCTGGAAATCTCGGAGCCAAACCATTCAGGGGGAATCGGTTCCTCCTATGGGGGGGAATCGGTTCCCTCTGAGCAATCTGGAATTTTTGGCTTTGAATTGGTTCGAAATACTTTGTAAAATATTTTGAAATTGTTTTATGATTAAAACTTAATTTTACACTTAAGTAAGGATCAAAAATGATTTTTGAAATATTTGGAGTAATGTTTTGATATTCGAATAGTTATATCGAATATACTTAGAAAATCATTTGGAAAATCTTAAAATCCATTTAACTTAATTTGTTATATCGAAATATTAAAATGTTTCAACAATCTCCCCCTTTTTGATATAACAAAACATTTTAGTAATTTTAAGATTTTTGAAATCAAGTTTTTAAAATTACTCCCCCTTACTTTAACACTTCTTCAATTTATCATGTAAAACATTTAACACTTATTCTTCTCCCCCTTTTTGTTAAATCAAAAAGACATTGTAAAACAAGGTTTTGAAAATCATTTAGCCAATTGATTTATTAATTATAAGCTTAAGCTGCTAAGATCACAATCAAAAGAGAGGTTAGCCATTAGTTTCATAAATCAATATTCATAAATAATGTGATATGGCAAAATTGGTCATGTTGCTAATGATAATGTAAATGATGCAAAAATGAATGAAATACACCAAACATATAAGTTCATACCATTCATAAATCCAAAATCCAACAATCCACAAAATCAAACAAATCAAAATGTTGAAACAATATTCATTTTGTTCAAAGTCTTAAAGCTAAACATAAAATCAAGCATCCGGATCGGAAGGAGGAAAACGGGCTCGCATAGCAGCCATTTCATGAGTTAGTTCATTGATACGAGCATTGGTTGATTCATTGTTTGCACGCATCTCCCGAAGAATCTCTAATTGTTGAGCTCCCATTGTGGATAAATGGGACTCTATAGAGGAAAAGCGCGAGTCCATGGTAGCGTATCGGAAATCGAATGTCTCCATAAAGGATTGAAAATATGGAGGCATTTGATGCGTTTGTTGTGCTTGCTCCTCGGGCTGCTCTTCGGGCTGATCAGGTTCATCTTCGGCTTCATCGATATCTTGCATTAATTGCTCAAGCTCGGGATCTTCGTCAGCTTCGGGTGGAGCTTGTGAAGAACTAGCTCCCGGAGTAGAAGATCGAACCCATTCACCGGTTTCTTTGTCCTTTACCCATCCCGCTCTCGTTAAGGAAAGAAGATTTATTTGTTTCTTAAGAGGAAAAACGGTATCTAGACCGACTCTAAGCCCAGCTTTGGAAAACAGATTACTCAAAAAGCAACCGTAAACTAGAGATGAACAGTGTTTCTTATTAGGAACAAGATTTACGGTTTCAACAATTTCAGCAAAAATAATCTGAGGTAGGTTAATTTTAATACGGTTTTCGAAACAATGTAACCACCAAAGATCCAAAGCTCTAAGAGTAGAATAACGACCTCCGGATGGTCGAAACCACCAAGAAATCATTAGATGAAGAAAACGCTCATGTAGGTCTAAGACACTCGCACTATCTCTTCTTTTATAACGAGAACCTAAAATTTGTTTTTCATTCGAAATACCATCATTATCTAATCCAAATGTATTGGCTATATATGCCGGATCAATATATAAGAATTGTCCTAGAAGGTAGGAATGAATTCCTATGGTTTCGGTTTCAGCTTGGTTTTTAACACATACGGCATTAGAGTAGAATATACGAACAAGTTGATGGTAAACGATGGGTTCAAGATCAAATAGTTTATCAAATTTCCATTCTTGTAAAATGGGAAGATATTTAAAATTGATAGCTAACATAGCTTGACGAGAAGGAATACGTTCTTCCCGGATTTTGTAAGAATCAAAATACTGATAATACCAATATCGGTGATTTCTAGACCCAGGATGATTGAAACATGAATTTTGGATAGTCAAGTTAGGATCAGTGGGATTGGGATTAGAAATTGGAATAGAATGAGGATTTGGAGGTGGATTTGGTTGACGACTAGAACGACTAGATGAAGACCTAGGTCGTTTAGGATTTGACATGGTGAAGGAAATCGGAATAGATAGAATAACCTGCAATTTTAAAACAAATGTATGCAATTCAATTAATCCCAAAACTCAAATGAGTCCTCAATATTTCAAGATTCTCTAAATCAATCCTAATGGGCAAAGTTTTTGAAAAACTTTTGAAAAATATGGTTTTGAGAAACAATATATGTATAGTTTTTCATAACAACAATATAATTTAATCAAAACACAATAGTTTAAATTTTTTTTATTTCGAAAATTAAAAAAAAATTTGAAAAATTCTTGTGTTTTTGATGAAATTAGTTGTAACATCTAGTTTCTAATCACTAAATAATCAATGCCCGATCACTATTTCAACCTAGAACTAATTGAAACTAATCCTATGTTCAAAAATAATGAAATAAAGAGTTTAGAAAAATTTACCTTGAAAGATGAAGATTGAGGGGATTTAGATGTTGTTTGCATGATTTTAATGATTCCAACAGGTTTAGA